CTCACTTGAGATCTGGGAAAGCAGTCGAGGATAGCCCAAAGCTTTGGGACTCTGAATTCACGTGGGAGACCCAGGAGACATTTCTGAGTCCTGGTTTCAGATTTGCGACCACATGGGGAGTGAGCCAGTGCCTTTCCAATAATAATAAATAAATCTCTTTTTTTTAAAGGTTAAATCCTAGTGGTCTGCATATTGCTTCTACTTGTATTTCTAGTTGACCTGATGTGCATTTTACATGAATATGAAGTAAAAATGTAAATTTATTTTTTTTACTCAAATGTGTTCAAGAAATTTGTTGTGTATTTTCTCCTTATTCAATGATCTTAAATTTTAGCACCTTGGAAAGAATGTGTTGCACAAATATCTGTACATTACTTATTTTGGCTTACTTTCATATTTTGCTTACTTGATTGTGTGCCATCATGCTCAAGTACAGTAACTTACGTACATTCATTTAGTCCATAGCAAGGAAACTGACCATTGGAATACACTAAATATTTCAGAAAATTATGGATTTATTATGGCCTGTTTTAAGGAACCATTAATTAGGAATAGCCATCAGCGATCTCATGAGCATCGTCAACGCAAGGGTTGCATGAAATGACATCTTCCCACAGGTTAGAAGAATTACTATTCAGGTCTTAACTTGAGACTTGGCCCAAGATGGCTAATTTTTCATCATATTAGCTGATTGTCATTCTCACTAAATGTAAACCTTGGCAATGAATAGGCTTCAGAGTGTGTCATTTTCCTTATATAAGTTGGTTGATTTTCTTGCTAAATATTAACCTTGGTATAGCATAGGTTTACTGATACTGTCGGCTTAATTTTGTTCATATCAACATAATAACTGGTGCTTTATAAATGATTTTTTATACAGATGTCCAGTGTTTACCACCTTTTACTGCTTTATTAATTTTGTTTTAGTTATTTCACTGTAGAATTATGTCACTTTCAAGTAATAATGAGCATAAGAGCTCTTCTGTTTCCATCTTGGTATGACACCACAATTGGGCATTGCAAGGATGATTAAAAAATCCTCCCCTTACTCTTGATTTTACTTGGATCACCTCCGGATGCCACAATTAATAGGGTACTAACTAATTTTCTTTTTGAAAGATTTATTTATTTATTCCTTTGGAAATCAGAGTAAAAGAGCCATCTTCCATCTAATGATTCATTCCTCAAGTGGCTCTGATGGTCCAGGCTGGGCCAGGGTAGGTTGAACCCAGAAATTTTTTTTTAAGCATTTATTTATATGAAAAGCAGAATGAGAGGAGGGAAAGAAAGAGTGACAATAAGTAAGCGATTGCAGCTGCTAGTCAAATACACACATTGCCACAACAGCCAGGATTTTATGACCAGACCAAAGCCAGAATCCGGGAAGTATCAGGTCTCCCTCCAGGGCCACGGAGGCCCAGGTGCTGGGCCATCCTTCTGCCTTCCAGGGGTTTTGGCAGGGATTGAACACACATTTCAGTAGGAGCTTAACCTGCAGTCCCCCAACACTGATCCAGAGGAAGAATCAACTGAAAGAACATTATCCACTTTGTTGCTTCTACTGTGTCTTTTGCATTTGGTTGTATGCTGGGGGCAGTGGGTCTTATAGTTTGATGCCCGACAACAACATCAGGATTAGCTGTGAACTTGTAAGAAATTCAGATACTTAGACCCTGTCCCACACCCACTGACACAGAGAACAGAGGTGTGTGGGGGCGAGCAGTTTGCATTGGTAAAAAGATTTCTTTGAAAGGCAGACTTAATACCCAGAGAGTGAGAGACAGATCCAGATGTACCATCAGCTAGTTTACTCCCCAGATGACCATAACAGCTAAGGGCAGGACCAAGCCAAAGCTGAGGACCTCGGACTCCCTGGTGCAGGTGCAAAGACCTACGCCTGTGGCCATGCTCTGCTGTTTTCCCCTGGGCTTTAGGAAGGAGCTGGATCTACAGGAGTGCTTTAACCTGATGCAGCCCTCAAGCCAGTTACAGCAACCAACATTTTAATACATCCTTTAGGTGACCGTTAGATACAGGCTCACAGTTAGAACCAGTGTCATAGATTTGCTCTCAGTTCCTCTTTGGCAAATTTCAACTACTTACATATAGATGGAAAACGCCTCATTTCTTTCTTCATAGCAAAGTTTATTGCCAGAAAACACAGATGATAAAATCATTCAAACATTTCTGATGGCTGTGATTTTATATCTATTATCTCTGTGTATGTTTTTTTTGTTGCAAAAATAATCTTTCCAAGTGTTTATGTGTCCTAGTCTTTTTTTTTTCCTTAGAAAAAAGCGTTGGTTTTCTAATACTTGTTACTTATTCTTTTTTGTCTTATCTCATGTCTTTTTCCTCTTTCTTAATTTGAAGATTGTTACCTTTATAATTTAAACATAATAAAACTATTGTAGTTATATTCTTTTTCACATACACAGGTTTTCCATGCCCTATTGGTTTTGGAATATATTTGTGAGCTGCCATCTAGTGTTATTTCCGCTTTTATTTCTGTTGCAACTGAAAGGTTATTGAGACTAATGCTTAGGTATAATCTTCAGATTTGGGTGCCAGCATTGTAGCCCAGCAGGTTAGGCAGCTGTTTGTGTGACATCCTCAGCCCATGTGGAGTCCCCTCTAGCCTGCTTCCCATCTAGGGTCCTGCTGCTGCAACCGGCAAATGTCATCTGCAGAGGGCCTCATCACTCCTGTCCCTGCGATTCCTATGGAATTCCTGGTAGCCAGCTTCAGCCTGGCACAGTCCTGGATGTTTCTACCGTTTTGGGAGTGAACTGGGGATGGAAGATCTCTGTCATTCTGTCTTTGAAACAAATAAACAAAACATATCCTTTTTGTTCAGGAAGTTCTCACATTTCTTCATGTTTTGGTGTCTTCCAAAACATTTGCTTTTTTTGTGGTTTGCTCTGATTTCCAGTTTCATTGCAATGCAAAGAGCTTATCATTTAGAATTTCTACCAATTTCTAATTGGTTGTTACAATAGATTATTATAGCATGCAGATGCTATGTGTGTATTCTTACAAATTTTCCATAAAATATTAGTTTATCATTGTTATCATTTTGGTTTACCATTATTAACATTAACCTCATTCTTCCATTGATTGCATTAATAACATTTCTCAGGTGCTTATATTTAAAGATATTTCTCAGGAAATTGCTTCTAGGTGCCAGCATTGTGGCTCGGCAGAAGTGGCTGATGCTCTGATCCAGGTACCTGCGAATGTGCCTGCAAAGACGGCCCAGGTGTTCAGGCACTTACTGCTCACTTGGGAGGCACTGTCATCAGAACCGGAGGAACTGGCAGGTGGTATTGGATTCCAGTGGGTAGCTGAATAAATCTGATTTGGAAAACTTTGATTTCTTTTTCCCCCTTCATCCCTCACTTCCCCCTGCTCTCTTTCTATTCTTCTTTCTCTTTCTGCCTTCATCTTTCGTCCTCCTTTTCCTTGCTCTTTCCTCTTCTCTCTTATCTTTTTAAATAATTCTGAAGTACACAGCACTTCAAGCTATTATCGACCATAGAGGAAATGTTTCAAAGCAGAATTCCAAACCTGATTTATCCTGATTCACTGAAACATTATGCTGACTCATTAATATTTTCCTGCTTTCCCCTCTTGCTGCATCACCCATCATTGTACCCTTTGAGTCGATGCATTTTCATGCTTTTGATACTTTTTATAAATACAATCTAGTAACAATTTCCATGTGGTTGGCTTTTTGTCCAAGAACAACGTCAGTAACATCCTCAGATTTCACCTGCATTGCTTTATAACGCAGTTTTATCAATCAATAATATTCAGGAATATGCCTGAGCGCATTATGAGTCTCCATTCACCCATGGGTGTGCGTTTATGTTGTCTGCCTCGTTTGCCTTGCTTCGTGTAACACCGTTTCAGCATCTCATATGTGTTGTCTATCAGGAACAGTGCTGCCGTGAACATAGCACTGCTAACATCTCCTCCGCAAGAGTGCCTGAACTTCGAACAGTTTCATTTGGGAATGGCGAGGCGATGCCACGCTGCTTTGCACGCAGGCTGCACGAGTTTACACTGCAATAGTGTCAGTGCCGTGACTGCACATGCTCTATGTTTTGCCCTGATGGTTTGGAAAAAGCCGCCCTAACAAGCATGAAGGGATTTGTCACTGTGGTTTTGATTTATAGCTCCTTGACGATCAGTGATACTGTTTTTTCTCTTCCCTGTTCATATTTTAAATATTTTCTCTGTAGAAATGGGTATGGAAGCCCTTGTCCATATCGTAACTGAATTAATAGTGACGTTGCTCATTACTTTTTGAAGTTCTTTGCATGTTTTTTGACTAACCTATTATTAGACATATAGTTTACATGCATTTTCTTATTCTATAGATGATCTTGTCACTTGATTTTCTCTGTTTTTATGCAGAGTTGCAGAATCTTATTTTTTTAATGGTTAAAGTTACTATTTCCTCAACAATTAAAATTTCAAAAGCTCTCAACTTTCAAATAATTTACATCCAGTATAAGAATTTAAAATAAATGAAGTAAAAATTCAGACTTTTGGTTTATAAACCACTTAAGATAAATGGTTTCTTCAGATGTCCTATTTTTGTAGTTCTATCATTGTTATCAACACTATAAGAAGTTAGATAGCAGAGAGTAAGTATAATAATTTCACCTTTTTACAATACAGAATTCTAGGATATTTTGTAAAATGTTACAAATACCTTATCATAAATCATTCTAAAGTTCACTTCAGTGATGAAAATAATTAAACCAGTTACAAACAATACAGCCCTTTCCTTTGTTAACACATGAAAAATTTATCAATTGTTGATACTCTGGGTATAAATATATTAGCAAGATTGATATTTCCCATTGGAAGAGATGTTTCCCTGACAAAGAGATAAAAAATGAATTATGTATAATCTATGAATATGCATTGAATAAATAATATCACAGAGTGATCAGCCAGGATAGGTAAATAAAATCAGTGGGAAATCTTACCACGCCGATGGAAAAGTAATTATTGATGATACTGTAAGGCACGGGGTCTCCTTTCTCGTCTTTGTCGTTAGGGATGACTTCAAACTTCCACCGGTCCAACATGACTTCTGTGCTGCTCTCAATGTCCTTGAGGATCTTCATCAGATTCTCACCTTCATAACCTAATGAAAACATGCATCTTGAAAAACACATATATCACCTGATGGCAACAAGCCTATTGGTGTGTGTTTGGGTGCGTGTGTATGTGTGTTTGGGTGTGTGTATGTGTTTGGGTGTGAGTAAATGTGTTTGGGTGTGTGTATGTGTGTTTGGGTGCGTGTGTGTATGTGTTTGGGCGTGTGTATGTGTTTGGGCGTGTGTATGTGTTTGGGCGTGTGTATGTGTGTTTGGATGTGTGTATGTGTGTTTGGGTGTGTGTATGTGTGTTTGGGTGTGTGTATGTGTGTTTGGGTGCGTGTGTGTATGTGTTTGGGCGTGTGTATGTGTTTGGGCGTGTGTATGTGTGTTTGGGTGCGTGTATGTGTGTTTGGATGTGTGTATGTGTTTGGGTGTGTGTGTTTGGGTTTGGACGTGTGTATGTGTGTTTGGATGTGTGTATGTGTTTGGGTGTGTGTATGTGTGTTTGGGTGCGTGTATGTGTGTTGCTCTAAAGTTATGGAATGCACTTACAGCAGGTAATTGTCATAACTCATACTCATGCCAAGATTACATTCTTAATTTCATCCCCATTTCTCCTTTTTGGTGCCAATAATCAGTTTATTCATATACCCAATACACATTTCCACTGCAAGCCCCCAAGAGACTTGAAAACTATAAAAAGTAGAGTTGGCTACCTCTAGAATGGGAAGCTGTCAGAAACGAGAAATTCACCCTGTGGAGCATGGCTCTACCTCTTACTTTATACAGATTAAATAGTTATGTACTAGGTAATACATATAATGAAGTGCAAAATGTGTAATGACTACAAAATATAAACATGAAGGAATTAAGTATTATTTCAAATAGTAAATCTATAACAGTATAATTTAAATATTTATATTAAGAATATTCATAATAGTGCGTGGTGCATTATTAAATGGTTTAAACTTTAAAATACTTATGTAGTTATCTTTCCAAGATTTTTTTCTGAAGATTTCTTTTACTCAAGGAAGTTAAGAATAGAGCCTCAGGGGCTCAACAGGTGCATGATAACTCTTTAAGACAATCTCATCAACTCTTCTGTTAATGTAAAATAAATAAAAATTAAAGAGATTTAAGGTAATTCTTTATCTTTCTCCCTCCTTACTAGCTTGCTTTCATTATCAATATTTGATTTATTCTTTGTATCTTATTTTTAAAAGAAGCACAGGTAGGGATAAGCATTTTGGGAAGTGGGTACAGCCACCTTCTGGGATAAGTATATTTCCTCAAGGAGAGATTGGTGGAGTCCAGCATTCTGCACACCCCAATCCAGCTTCCTCTTAAAGCAGGTAGAGCCCACGTTGTGGAGTCCCTGTAACCCATACTGGAGACACAACACTACTGGCTCTTGCTAGGGCATGGCCCCGTCCCAAGCACTGTGGCCATTTGTGGAGTAAACCAATAGATTAAATCTCTCTCTCCATGTCTCCATCTCCCTGTCACTCTGCCTTTTGGATAAATAAATTTTTTAACAATTATGTGGAAAAGTATAAATAATAGCTTCTTCAAAAACATTTTGAAAAGGCATGTAGTTTCCACATGGAGTAACATAAAATTGTTTATTTACATATCATCCAAATTCAATTGTTATCTTACAATAAACAACAGGATTATATGTAATTCAATCATAAGTACATTTTTATAAAATAGTAAAGGATGGTACTATACCATTCCTTGCACAACCATGATATGAGTAAACTACCATGTTTGAGGTCTAATGTTGGGCTTGCCATGAGTCAGGTAATAGCAGCAGAGTCCGGAAAACCACCAAGCATTGATGGGACTGTCACCATGAGGGAGAAACAGGAGAGCAAAGAATTCATGAAAACTAACTTCTGAACCATCTCTTGGCTTGGACGTTTCATCCCTGGATGTATCATCAGAGGCTTTTATTGCTAGATATGAAAAGGGTACTATCACTTAAGCTTCCACTCACAGAAAAACGGAATGAGGCAAAAATCTATTCTGAAAATTACAACATCTGCAATGCAGAATTCATTCATGAGGCCGACACCCGGACTGTGGTCCCCATCTTAGAAAGCGCTGCACTCCATGTCCTTCTGCTGAATAATCATGATACTCAACTGTTGTTGTATTAAATTGTTTCATAATAGATAATTATGCCAGATTAACACAAAAATGGAAGCATAATTACTGTTTATTTTCTCTTAAATACACAAATGTGCCTAAAAATCATAAAAAGTCTATGAATAAAAATCACATGAAAAAAATCAAGACCAAATATTTGTGGCAAGGTTTTTCATTTACAACTTTTATCACTTTCTATAGTCAACATAAACAGTATTTACCCTGCAATTATCCTTAGATTTTGAATTAGATGGATTTACTGTTGGGAGAAAATGGCAACGGGAATGTTAATTAAATATTTTTCAAATTCCCTGGGAACCTACATTTCATGGTATTCCTTTTCCCAAAATAGTAAAATATTTTCTTGTGAAAGAGTCTACTGTTTGGGCCTGGCACGGTAGCCTAGTGCCTAAGGTCCTCACCTTGCATGTGTCGGGATCCCATATGGGTGCCGGTTTGTATTCCAGGTGATCTACTTCCCTTCCAACTCCCTGCTTGTGACCTGGGAAAGCAGTAGAAGACCTTGGGTCCCTGCATCCAGGTGGGAAGAAGCTCCTGGCTTTGGATTGGTTCAGCTCCAGACATGGTGGTCATTTGAGGAGTGAACCAGTGGACTGAAGATCCTTTTCTCTGTCTCTCCTTCTCTCTATAAATCTGCCTTTCCAACATAAATAAATCTCCCGCCAAAAAGTCTACTGATCATAAGCGAGTCAAGCGATGACTAATAAAGTACTTTCTTTCACATATTTGAAGCGTAAATTAGTTACTATGACTTCCTAAGGTACTCAGCATATATAATGTGCAAGTAGTTTATCGGTTTAGGCTAAGAAACTCTTCAAGGGAGGCCCAAAACTGTGCCTCGGGTTGTTCAGTTGCCACACCATTGCCAACACCGCCCTAGCCCAAATGTTTTACTCTCCAGTTAGGATACACATAATGGAATCTCTGACTTGGAAAACTAGTTCCCCATGCTTTCCTGTTTCCTTACCAACTTATTTTCTCCCTTCCCCCTTCCTATAACTACCTGCCACCCCATTGCTGTGTGGGCCACCCTTCTTCCCTTCATCAGTCCTTTCAAACAAGATGCCTTTGTGTTACCATCTCCTATTCCAAGCCCTGTAAATGCTCTTCAGAGAGATGTTCTGATCCAGTTCCTGGATTTTTTGATTGCTACTCTGCATTTCCATTCTCATTGACTTATTGTCTAAATAGTCTGTAAAAGAGTGGATCAAGCTATTTCTTTCCTCATTTTACATTCAGCATTTAAAACACTGTCAACACTAATTGGGTATCCAGACAAAATCTGTCATATGCCTATACTCATGGGCTAGCACGTGCATATACCCATGGGCTAGCATGTGCATATACCCATGGGCTAGCATGTGCACATGCCCATGGGGCCAGAATGTGCAAATGCCCATGGGTTAGTATGTGTATATACCCATGGGGCCAGCGTGCGCACACTCACATGGGGATAGCATGGTGGGTCTTGGGTTAAGTTTCCACCTGTGATGCCACCATCCCTCTGTAACTCTACTTCTTCTTCTTTTTTTTTTAAAGATTTAATTTATTTATTGGAAAGTCAGATATACAGGGTGGAGGAGAGACAGAGAAGAAGATCTTCTGTCCGATGATTCACTCCCCAAGTGAACGCAACAGCCGATGCTATGCTGATCCGGAGCCAGGAGCCAGGAACTTCTTCCAGGTCTCCCACACATGTGCAGGGTCCCAAGGCTTTGGGCCATCCTCGACTGCTTTCCCAGGCCACAAGCAGGGAGCTGGATGGGAAGTGGAACTGCCGGGATTAGAACCAGGGCCCATATGGGATCCTGGCGCGTTCAAGGCGAGGACTTTAGCTGTTAGGCCACGCCGCCGGGCCCTGTAACTCCACTTCTTAAAGAAATGTTTTCCAAAATGTGCACATGCTTAGATTTCAAAATATTTTACACCAGAACAAATGTATTTAACTTCATTTCCTATTTTGAATGTCTGTCATATGTGTATTGGTATGTGTTAAGTCCTTGCCTTGTCCACGTTTTCATAAGAATCATTAAACTATGCTCAAAATGGATTTATCAAAGTTGAGATTTCAGCCATTTTCTAATTTGGAATCCAATAAATGATCACACTGTTAATTTACCATGCTCAAGGAAGCATTCTACAGGAATATAATAATAGCCTTTTAATTAGGACACATGTGTGAACACTACCAATCACAGGACTCTTATGAACAATAGCTGCATCTTTACATCTGTACACAATGTCTTCAGACACTCTTTTATATCCTTACTGAACACTCCAAATGGGTAATATCTTGTTTTTCACTTCGTCTCCAATTCTGTGGACATCTTCAGTTTGGAACTCACTAGTCGGCATGATACTCATGGGACAATTGCTCTCAAACTCCATTGCAAATGAGAGTTACTAAGGAGTCTGTTTGGAAAGGCAATTGCTGGCAGAGGTGCCACCCCTAGAGGTTTCTATCCAGCATGTTTGGGGTGGGGTTAGGTCCCCGTCTTTTTAACAAGCTCCCCAAGGGTTTCTGATATGTACTGTCTCATCATTTTTCACACTATCCTGAGCAAGTTTAGATGTTAAAAAAAAAAAAAAAGACATCACTTGATGTCCTTGCTTCTCTAGCAAAGATCAGCGTTGGTCAATGATGGGTATAACCTATTAATGAGTATGCAAAATATTTTAAGACTCTGTCTTAAAACAGCCTCTCTTCCCCCAGCCTGCTCCATTCACATTAGCCCACTTTGGTCCCGGAGTATGCTGCACACCTTGTAGCTTGGCGTTCCTTCTGCCGGAATCACCTGGCCTCTATTGATATGGCTGTGTGAGTATCCAGCCATTAGTTTTCTCCTCTGCGCCATTTCTTCCATGAAGGATTTCTTCACAATGTGACTTGTTTAGTTATTTGTTAATAGGAAGTCTTATTGTTCGCAAATGACAATGTTTTACTAAAATTTAAGGTCTGTTTTTCCACATTTTCACCTCTGCATTCCAAGTATAGAGCATGCTGGTTAACATAGAGTCTCAATGACTTTGTACTGATATATTCATTCTTAAAGAAGCCATTAGGGGGTCTGGCACAGTGGTCTAGCAGCTGAAGTCTCCTCCTTGAACGCACCAGGATCCCATACGGGCACCAACTCTAATCCCGGCAGCTCCACTTCCCATCCAGCTTCCTGCTTGTAGCCTGGGAAAGCAGTCGAGGGAGGCCCAAAGCCTTGGGACCCTGCACATGTGTGGGAGACCTGGAGAAAGTTCCTGGCTCCTGGCTCCGGATCAGCACAACTCTGGCCGTTGGGCTCACTTGAGGAGTGAATCATTGAATGGAAGATCTTCTTCTCTGTCTCTCCTCCTCTCTGCATATCTGACTTTGCAATAAAAATAAATAAATCTTTTTTTTTTTTAAGAAGCCACTCATCTGCCTCTTTCTCTGTTTTTAATTTTATCACATCATCCACAGAGTTAAATTGTGTACATGATCTTGGAGTTCATTCAGGTTTACTTCACTTTCTAAGCACACACACACACACATCACATCACAAATATGGCAGTTTTGGAAACTTGTCCTCCACTGGTCAAGTCTGCAATTGTTGTCTGATTAAAGCCAGAAACTATATTCTTCTTGTGCACTCTTGGCTTCCCTACCTCAACTGTTGTTCAAACTGACACGTAATTGTGGACACCAATGTACTGCAGAGGCCGTGCACTAGGGCAGGCCTGGGGTATGTTCTTTGGTGGGGAGTGGGTGATGTGTTGTTGGGTGTGTGTTTCTGTGGCTCTTTTACCTCCTCCCCATCGCAGGCATCTTGCCAGATCATTGCCAGTGCCAAGAGGCAGGATAGCCACTGGAGGATGCTTCGTTACGTTGGCCTTTTCTGTGGAAGCAATGAATTGAAATGAACTGTTAAATTCAGAACATTTAAAAAAATAAATAAACAAAGGAAGGAAGGGAAAAGGAAGAAATGGAATGAAGGAAAGAAGGAAGGAAATAAGGGAGGAAGGAGACAAGAGAAAATGGGGAAAAAAGGAAGAAAGAAGGAATACAATAATGTGACATTAAATGCAGAAATTCCAGTACGTGCATACAAGTTGAAAACTATTGCATTTCAGAGACACCAACAAGCATGTACTCTGTTTTATATAATTTTGTAATAATTGGTAAAATATAATCAATGACTACTCTTCTCCAGGTATGAGAGTATCACAATAAAGCCTTTTAAATATTTGAACTCATTAAAAAATGAGGTATATATCTTTTAAAAAATATAATATCTGCTAAAATGCTCAAAAAACGCAGGCATAAGCAGCACATAAAAACATAAGATTATGGAAAAATGGAATTGAATTACTTTGGTGCAACAATGATTGAAAGTCATGGACAATTTTCTTCTGTACACATTTTCCATGAACTTTCTGAGGGTGTCTTGTTTTTTCAAGAGGATGGCCAAAATGAGTTTCCATTTAGCTCCCGAAGGGGAAAAAAAAAATGTTTAAACTTCAACATGGGACATATTTTGCCTAATGATTAAAATATCTGAAAATCATTGATTTCTGAAAATGAGTAAATTACTAATGTTGCCCTGTACTGTTTTCTGCCTGGTGATGCTGGGCGTCAGAACACACAGCTCAGGCAGCCGGATGGGGGGACGAGAGTCGGATTCCCGTAGGATGGATCTGTACATTGCCACCTGCGCGGCGTGCATCTTTCATGTCTGTAACTTTATGGACTCTCCCTTTTCAGCCCACAATGCTTGTAAATGTACTGGAGGACACAGAGGGAGGCTGTGATGAAAAACTCCAAATTCAGATTTTTGGAAGGCAAAATTACAATTATTGCCACTCTAAAATTCAAGTCACTTTTAGACTAATGTTAACTGGTACAGTTCTTAAATGCTGGTTCCCTTCTCAAAGACATCGTATAAATTGTGTGTGTGTGTGTGTGTGTGCCTTTGATTGAGAAGATCAGAATTTTCACTGTGGCTTATTTTTTAATATAAATGAATAAATGAGAATTGTTGCAAATGTAATCAAAGGTGTGGAGGACAAACTGAATTCATTTGTATTTGAATCTTTCAGTGTCTAAAAAAAGTTGGATGTCCTCATGGGCAATGATAAATATAATTGTGTCACAGTTTATGGAGACAGAAATATTTTGAATCAAATCATTTTGTGAAAGGGGCTGCTTTTAGACAAAGCATTGGCAAACAAAGTAATTGAAATGAGATCTAAAACTATTGTCGTAGGTTTACCCTCTTAGTAAGGGCAAACCATGGTCTGTATCAATGGTCTGAAAAAAAAACCAACAAAACAGTATTCGAAGTGTTTTCTGGGATGTGTGTTTATATTTTATCTTTAATGATCCACATGCTTTATTTGCTTATAAGAATCAAACAACTTAAGTTTGGCATGATAGGCAACATAGAATATTTATGATTGGGTTCTCATTCCAGTTCTATCAGTTCGGATCTGTAAGGTGTTTTTCTAACTAGTTTCCCCAGGTTTTGGATTGTTGATCTCTTAAGGGGATTACTGTTAGAATTTGATATTGAGTTTTGAGGAAGTCACAGGATTATTTAGGACTATTGGAGAGTATGTGTAAGCAAAATAGCTATGAGGGTGTTGGTGATAGCTGATGACAATGCCATGGAATGTGACCAGCTTTCATGGCAGAGCAAAGTAAGAACATTTAGTGGCACAGACTGTACCAAAAATGCTAAGATAACTTGGCATCCCTAGGGGGTGCAAAACAAGCAGGTTGTCCAGGAATTTGATTTAAACATACCTGTAAAGGTTTAGTAACTACACTGAGAAGTTGAGTAGAAGAAAAGATTTTAGAACACTTGAAAAATGGATATATTTTTAAAAAATTGACTAAAGTTTTTGCCTTGCATATGCTAAGAATCCCATATGGGTGCGGTTCTAATCCCAGTTGCACCACTTCCCATCCAGCTCCCTGCTTGTGGCCTGGGAATGCAGTCAAGGACAGCCCAAAGCCTTGGGACCCTACACTTGCCTGGGAGACCCAGAAGAGGCTCGTGGCTTTGGATTGGTGCAGCTCTGGCCTTTGTGGCCGCTTAGGGAGTAAATCATTGAACGAAAGATCTTTCTGCTTCTCCTCCTTTCTAAATATCTGACTTTCCAATGAAAATAAAATAAATCTTTAAAAAGCTGAATTACTGATGAATACATTAAACTGGTAACTGGTATACAGCTTGTCAGATGTCCGCCCACATCCTTGCATCCAATGATATGCAGGTTAACGATGCACAGACAGCCAAAACAAAACCGATGATTGCCATTCTCACTCCAGCCATATTAAATATGCATCCTCATTACCTATGCAATCCAAAATCCAGCCCACAGTTCCATCTCCGCCACAAGCTAACACTCTGAAGTCAGGTACATCACGGAAAAAGTTTAACCTGAAAAATAAGCATGTTATGGTACATGACTGATATTTTCAACTGAGGAGTGTTTCAATTTTGTGTCATTAGCATTTTCTCAAAAAAACGCACATTTCTTTTATAAATGTATTTCACTGATATGCTATATATCATGTAAACATCACTTGTAACAATATATCCCTGGGTCTACAATTTGAAAATATTTTGCAATAGTACGTGTTAATTTCTATATTCTTACAAACTTTGAAATTTTAACACTGATAAATTACAGCACTTGTCATGAAAGTGTGTAATGTGAAGTTCACATACTCTGGTTTTGCCAACTTCAAAAAGGTCAAGTAAAAGGTCAAAAAACTAAGATTGAATTTGAAAATATCCATGCCAAGCTGCTCTGATAAAGCCATCTTCAGAACAAGGTGGAAGTACCCTCAAACACTTGTAACTGAATACTTCTTGTGGGTCACTTGTTTTTTTCCTTTAGGGACAAGCATTTGAGGGACACCAAAGATGCTTCCCTTATCGCAGTGTCTGAATTTGACCTGGCTCTGCTTCTGATGCATTTCCTACTAATACACCGTACAAGGCAACAGGTGATGGCTTTAGGAATTGGATTCTCTCCCCCGACAAGGGTGACCTGGACTGATTTGGGCTGATAAAATTTTCTTTCTATTATTTAGTGTGGTAAGAAATTTCATTGTGAGCAAATGTTTAAATTTTTTTTTTTTTGGCCACATTTTTGAGATGATGCTTTGGCTGTTCTCACATGGTGGACTGCTATAAGAACACGCAGTAACGGGTTTTGGGATTATTAAATCACTTGTGTAATCTTTGCCCGACACCTACATGGGTCATCATTTAGTAGCATTATGTAAATGATTTTTGGTTGGTAGTATTTTATTTGGAAATTTGGCACCTCTATAATGAATCTACTCCTTTTTTTTTTTTTCTCATACCACCTCTGTTGTCAGGAGTAACGGTTAGAGTCCAGTGGAAATGCCCACATCCCCGAAGCATGATTGCCTTTTGAATTCAGAGCCTGTGGGATAGTGGCCATTTGCTCAAGTTGTCGGGCCTCCGCCACCTGGATGGGAGACCTGAATGAGCTCCCCGGACCTAGCCACTGCAGGCTAGCTGAAACTGAAGCAGGAGAGGAGACCTTTCCTCTCTCTGTGTGTGTCAGTCTGACTCTGTCACTCTCATTTGTTCTACTACGAGAACACATTCTCTCTTCCTATTTTGAAGGAGGAATGTGAATTACATTGTAAACTTCTTTAAAAACGGAGAGCACATGCCCATAAAATAACTCAGTTTCTGGTGAGTCTCTCATTTTTCATGTAAATATCTCACTGCTTAAATTCCTTTAAAAATTATTGAAAAAAATCCCTGTCTTTGAATCCTCCCTGTGCCAGCTCTTAGCAGTTATACTGCTGTAGCCATTCGTGAATCTCACTGAGGTTTCCAAGCACATGGCACTAAAGCTTTGGAAAGCTTTGCAGCTCAGAAAAGCAGCTGGGACACTGCTCTCTAAATAGAGCTCGTGGCTTCTAGAGAAAGCTTGGCCATTCGCGTGACTCGCCATCGCTCTTCCACTCCACGATGCTGCCTCATTTGTTACTCATTCTTGTTTTCTTGTAAAATCGTCACCCTTCCTTCTTCAGTAGCATTCTACCACCAAACACAAACCCCACGTGATGGTCAGGCCAGCTTATGCCGTGTAAAGCGATTGCTACATGGGTGGAAAAACTGACCTCTCTCTATCTCAACTTCTTAATCCACTCAATCTATGCAGTTTTTTCCTACAGAGTCACTCATTCTCTATTTCACTCATCCATTGAACAGCAGCCTTGAAAATGGATGGAGTCATTCTGAGACTCAGCTTCTTGATCTTTAAAATGAAATGACCATCATCTACTTCGCTGGACTATTTATATACACATAAATAAGAGGCACATGTAAATGCATTGCAGCACCCACAGGTCATCACTGATGTAATTTCTTGTTCTCTTCAATACCTGGGGTACATGTAAGTCTTAGACACACTGTCGCTCTATTTCCCCAACCTCTCATCTCCTGTTTTCTGAAACAAGAGGCAGAATTCTGTGAAAATCCTGTCTGGACTGACCATTGAGGACAGTTCACCTACCTCCAGTCGGAAAATGTGACTAGTGGACAATTGGCGGATCTGTGTGCTGCACTGGAAATCTAAGGCACGAAGGAGGCGACTGGGACTGAGGACAGGAAAGCCCAAGAGATAGAGCGGAGCCCGTAACTTGGGCTCTTAGTGGCAGCGACTTCTCTCCTTGTCACGGTGCCGCAACCAGCAGCCAAGTGCCCTGCTCCTCACAGTGGTCGTGCTAATGGCAGAAGCAACGAGAGCCAGCAGAGTGTGGGAGGATGGCCCTGCTAGGCAGCTGCAGTGCTATATGGGTAGTTTGATGGATCATTTGTTCAGTTCACATGAAGAAAGAGCATAGCATTTCAAAGTGAGATATTCATACATGTTTGACAAACACAAAGTGTTAAGAATTATGTTAAGAATTATATACTACCATAATATTAATGGATTTGTAACTTTTAAAACTTGTGAGTGGAATATAATTAATCTTGTTATTATTTTATAACCCTACACTATTTTCCCTGCTGAACCAAGGGTCCTTGCATATTTATTTTGTTGAACTCTTTATTTAGTTGGACACTCAGCCTTTGACTATAATGTAAATTTCAAATACATTATCTTAAAAAAGACATTGTCGTGTAGGAAAAAAAGCTTGACTCCTAGATTTAGTTTTGCTGTTGTAATGGACGTTTTCATATTACAGTAAACTGTCAAAAATTTATCAAGGGAATTAATGATGATTGAATTTTCCATGTTGCTTTTCCTGGTTCTTCTGGAGAGTTTCTCATTTCTCTTCAGCAGTACCTCATGTGGGAAGTCAGCTCTTCAGCATACAATTTCCTCTTCACGTATTTCTGCCACAGCCACACTGCAACATCCTCAAATTTTCACTTGTGCAAGGTCAGTGAGCCCTTGGAATCTGGTGTGTAGCACGGCTTCTAAGGTTGATGCAGTTGCAGTATACATTTTAGGCCTCATATTAAATGGTATCACATCACACATATGCAAAAGTGGGTGATGGGTTTGTAATATGTAATACCATAAACCCGAACCCAGATAATTTGAGAATTCATAAATTTACTTTTCATTATAATAAATATTCAAATAAACAGTTAAAGAGAAAATCAATGCGCTTTCATTTGTGCCATTTACAAACATACCAAGAAGTTATCTTAAAAGAAATTATAATGCTGATCCCAGCATTTTGAAGTGTCTTAAAATCAGATGTCTTTAATGGCCATATGCATTCCTAGTGATTCCAATCTTCCAATCTCACACGCAATTATTTTTAAAGAATAAGAGATATCTATTTATATAGAATGTGGATGCACTGGTTAGGAACCAGAATGAACATATAAAGTAAAAGTGTGGCAATTAAGTGGTATACCTATTGTTGTATATTAAAACTCATATGCATTGAATCTGGAGGAAATCTGCGTGAGATTCACAAACAGTTTAGCATATCAATGCGTAGTGAATGCATCCTGACTTTAATTATACACATTCATGTCCCTTTGTTTTGAAGCAATATAAGGCTGAGGATTAAAAATGACTTCATCGTATGTCATCAACTCTCCTCTTCTTTTCCCTTCTCTGTTTAGAGAAGCGTCCTTTGCAACAAGTACTTGCTTTGGGGAGATTCTGCATTCCAATGCAAGCATTGGGAGCCAGAAACAAGCATGCTTATCTCTCATTATTCTGCTGCATTCATATTTATCTCCGCCTATATACAGTTACAGACTATTACTCTTAAAGTTACAATATGATAGGGCTTCACCATCGCCTCATGAAAGTCGGGGTGGGTTTTCTGGTCTTCGTGCTACTATTGCTTGCAAAACTGCAGTTTGCAAAGACAACTTTTAGTAGCTTCTACCTGGTTTCTAATGCCCAGAATGGATCTATAGATACTATGTTATTGCTGATATTAATATTGCTGCTGCAGTACATTTAAAACATGAAAGATTTCATGATCTGATGAGACACCATAGCGTACATGTTGCTCTATCTTTTAAAAAGCTCATACATGAGTACTTAGTTCTCTCAATTTTTAATTTAATCACATATGTGTAAGTAATTACTATATGTTTCTTGATAACATCAGTTTCTTAGTGATGACTCATCAATTTAATACAACTTCTCTACTATTTCAGCTTCATGTAAAACTGCCACCATGTCCTCCCATCTTGCATTTTGTCTATTTATTAAAAAAAAACTTAGAAAAATTATGTGCAATTAGAAAGTTTACCCACTTCTGCTATCTGATCCAGCTATCTTATTCTGGGAATATATCCAAAAGAAATGAAGTCTGTATATGAGAAAAGAATTTGTGATCCTGTACTTACAGCCACACAATCTACAATAGCAATGACATGGGAGCAACCCAGATGCTTGCCAAAAGAAGCATGAATAAAGGAAAACTGTGGTACTCAGCCATCAAAAAGAATGAAAACCTACCATTTACAACCAAACAGTTGCAACTAGAGATCATTATGCTCAGTGAAACAAGTCAATCCCAAAAGGACAAATGTCATATATTCTGATATAAGGCAATCTTCATGCAAAATAGGAGGTCAACAGCTCTCTCAATACTGTTTGCTACAACTTGAGGGGTTTGACTTTTTTGTTTTTATTTTCATTCATTTGAAAAAGTGTTTACTTTTCTTATTACTTTTCTCACTGACTCCTAGCTCACACAACAGCATTGTTCAGTTCGAGAGTCTTTGATTTTCTTTTTCATTTCTTCAGCATCACATTGGTCATTCATTAGCATATTATTTAACATGATGTTGTTGTAAAATTTCTATTTTTCTCCCTGTTGCTGATTTTGTTTTATGACTTTTTATTTACGGGGATATATAGCAGCTGTGTAGTCGAGACTAGCACATACAGATGTGAAGATACA